ATAAACAATAAAATTCTTATAAACGAAAATAATGAGCTGAGGAAAATCAATTTTCAATTTCAAGACAGAATAAACAAAATAATCAATCAATTATCAAGAGAACAAACACACATTAGTCAAAATTTGATACTAACTAGAAATAATAACGCAGGAAAAAACTTTACTGTTTTTAAGGAAATTTTTAAAATACATTTCAACCTAGATTATATAAAGGATCATTTAGAAGATATTTTCGACGCAATTGAATTAGCAATTCTGTCAAAAAATATTTTGTCACCCCAAGAATTAGATTTTGCAGCTAAGAAATTAGAAGAGAAGGGAGTTGTACTCACCAGTCTCGAAGAAACATATGATTATTTAGATTTATCAGCTTTTCATAATAATTCGAAGATCATTTTTGTTATTTTGATCCCTCTGATAGAGGATTCTGTTTATGAAAAATACTATCTAGAACCATTACCATTAGGGAATAAGATTCTAAAACTTCCGGAGACCCACGCCATGCGGAACGACAAGACTACTTTCATCATCATCAACAAATGCAAACGTATACAGAAATTATCTTTGTGCACCCGGGATAACGTACAAAATATTACCCAAGATGAATATCTAACAAACCTACTTCAAGGACATTCAGCATATTGCTCTTTTACAAATCGCAAGAACCCTACAGAAATTAAACTTATCACAGGAAATTTGCTAGTACTAAAGGAAGTCCAATCATTGGAAATTAAATCCACCTGTGGAATCACGAGCAGGAACCTAACGGGATCGTATCTCATTGAATTCCACAATTGTTCACTGAGCACAAACGGATCAAAATTTGAGAATGCCGAATTTTTCCAAGCCGAGCCTCCAATAATGTTACCTTTGGATGGTCTCATAATTGCAGAAAGTAATTTCGAACCACTATTGAGGGTGCAAGAAGTTGACATAATAAACAGACATGCGTTCGAGAATTTCACTAATCATCATGAAATTCGAACCATCACATCCCTAATCATGTCAACCATAAGCATCATGATAATCATCATTATCATGACATACGTAGCTAGGAAAAAAACTCAGCCGGAAGCTCAACAGTGTTGCTAGACAACAACCGTTAGATGCATCCACTATCCTTTACAAAAAAGCCGATGGTCATTCAACCTCAGAAATTGAATCGGGACGATTCGAACTTGAAGGAGGGACGAGTTAAGTACAGCACTTTTCTGAAATCATACCAGAACCCAATTACAAGCAATTCAACAAATCCGAGACACAGCAACGACACTATCGACAGGAACTTCAGTCGATATCAGCAATAATAAGACACAACAGCAACAACAACAACAACAACAACAACAACAACAACAACAACAACAACAACAACAACAACAACAGCAGAACTCCATCCCAATGCATAATCATATTTCTGCACACAGAGATTATTTTACTGGGGTCAGTAATTTTTACTGGGTTTTCAAACAGCTGAAAAAGTCAGTAAACTGAAAATAACGGTCACACGTAATGCAACGAACAATTTTAACATATTTTATTTTTATCATCAAATCAATGTAATAAGAACACAGTCTGTATAAATTTCAAGAAAAAATCACTTTTATACAATTTTTTACAATTTTTTTAAGTTTACTGACTTTTTCAGCTGTTCAAAAACCCAGTAAAAAATTACCGAACAGGGAGGCCGTGATTTTGTGTGTGTATATCAGCAATCCCATTCCTTTCCACGAGGCGACCATCCATCAGCGACAACGAGACGGTTAGCAGCAGACAAAACATAGATAGCATACCTATAAGTAATAATTCGCGCACTTAGCGTTTTTCATTAACCCTTTAGTATAATACCACATTTTAACTTTTTGCTTTAGAAGAATAAATCATTCTAGTTCAGACCTTCAGTCGAGTAAGTTCGTAGTTCTAATTTTATTTTTTTTAAACGCCCCCCGAAGGCCCGAACTAATAACTGGTTCATTAAATTTAACATAAAATAAACAAAATTATTTTCGAGTGTGTGCATCTTGTTATGATTATGAACTGCTTTTCAACTATTTCAAAGCAACATGTATGATACGACTAAATAATAACATCTGTTCGGTAAGCTCTGATTGTTTCTCATTTACTTTTATTTGAAATAATAGATTTTCCCTTTTTCTAGCCTTACCCATATGCCTATGATCGACTTTTTTAAATTTGTTACTTTTTAACGTTTTCACTTTATTCCGATGGTTCGGTACATGGACCTTAAATGGGATATGTATCTTTTTAAATCTCGTGATTTTAAACATCAAAATGCTTTTTAAGTTTTGACTTCGTATTTTTTGTACAAGGTATAAAAAACACACACACACACACACACACACACACACACACACACACACACACACACACACACACACACACACACACACACACACACACACACACACACACACACACACACACACACACACACACACACACACACACACACACACACACACACACACACACACACACACAAACGTACTTTTTAAAGTACAAAAATGCATATTTATTCAGTTTAGTATATGGCGAGCAATTTATAACCAAACTACATGTGGGAAATACGTAATCAGCAATGCGGTGATTTATTCTGGTGTACAGATAAATACAGACATATTTTTTGACACTCATACAGAATTTTGAAAAAAATCATCTGGCATCCCTGGAGATGATAGTAGCAAATACAGTATGCAAAAAAAGTTTATCCACCCCCAGTGAAAAATTAGATTTGTTCCAAAAAACCCACCATGCTTGACTGTAGGCTGCAAACACTCCTTTTTCAAACTTTCACCGGTTCGTCGCCATTTTTTTTTGTGATACCATTAGACCCAAATAGCATTACTTTCGTCTCGTCTGACCAGATCACCTTATTCATGAAATGTGGTCCTGGGCCCACTTCAATCTTTTTTTGATATTTTTTTCGGACAACCATGGCTTCTTAAGAGCTACTCTGCCCTTAAGACTTTTCTTATGAAGACGATTTGATGTCAGTTGAATGGAAAACTCGCTTTCAATCTGTTTCGCAATTTTCCGAGCTGATAGTCCCCAGTCCAGCTCCGCCTTCTTCACGATAGCTCTGTCAAATCGGCCAGTTGTGTTTGAAGAACGCCCCGATCGCTTAGCTGGTGAGATAGAACCACGCTTTTTGTACATCTGCACAATTCTAGCGACCGTATCTTTGTGAAGCTGGACAATACCAGTTTTGTGATGCACTATAGTCACCGACAAACCGACATGAATGACCATAGCAAAAACAATAAAATTTCTGACCAAAGCACACTAATGACATCTGGCTCCGGGATTGCGGGAAATATTTAGCTAAGCTATGAGTCCGCATGTAAAAGTTATGAATTCGTTCGTGTCTGATCTATTTTGGACAAATTATTTTTATCTAGATCAAAAAATCCTATGGTTTTGACAGTTTGGATCCCTGCACATTTAAATCGACCGTTTACGATTTTCGGGCATAAATCAGAATTAAGTGTCATGTCGGTTTGTCGGTGCTATAGTGCCGAGATGAGTGAAAAGAACGTACTTGAGTCAATTGAATTCAGTCGCTGAGTTATTGTAGTTGGCCGTGAAGATGGGAAGCTGACGCTTAACAGGTGTTTTTGACAGTTATGGCTACAGAGAAAGACAGAGAGAAAGGACTTGAAAGTTCTCTCGCGCTCTCTGTGCGCTGGTTGGAAAGGTAGTTCATTATGAATGGGAACGATCAGATTTATTTAATTATGCTCATATAATTTTAATATTTCAAAATTCTATCTCACCGTTTATCGGAGCAGAAAATCATGCTCTGCACACCAAATTTTGAATTCAAGTTCCAGCAAAATGAATTGCTGCAGTGTATCCAGCAAAAGCAAGTTTTGCTGTGAAACCAGTAATCAGTATTATTTAGCTGATTGTTCCAGTTAACAGAATTAAATGTAAACGCTCTGGATCAATTTGCTGGCCGTTCGGCAAAAACATTTTGCTAGATTGCTGGATTTCTAGCTCGACAAAATCCAGCAAAATGTTGCTGGTTTCCAGCGAATAAAAATGGGTGTGTATGTTCACGGTGATTTTTTTTTGCTCGATAATCTTAGCGAAAAGTAAATGAAAATCGTTTTTTTCTAATTTCTCTCATACTGATTAATGTAGTTTTTAATCAGCTGATTAGCGCCATCTGTTAGAAAACAAACGGCAATCATATGATTAATTGAAAGACTGCGGAGACGCATTACTGTTTATGGACATTCAGTGGTTCTTAAAGTTTATTTTATTGTCCTGCTGCTCAGTTGGACCAACGTCGTTACGTTGGGAGTGCAGTGGAGTTTAATTAAACCGATTTCGAGGCAGCTAAACGTAGCGGAAAATCACTCAAATAAAGAACCCTGTTTCAATTACAACCAATAATTTTGCCGGTAATATTGCAGCCTAGTGTACCCGTACACCTTTCGCCCACCACCCTCCATCCCTGGAAATCGGAAAGGAAATCAATCGACTGGCACGGCGAAATAGAAAGAAGAAAATGTAATAATTTTCTATTAGTCATGTCAAATGGCTTGTTGCGAGTAGGATTTACGTGCGAGTACGCGTCTGTTTCTCCGGAGTCAGTTGACTGCATCATTTGATCGGATATGATGCGTGAACTCAGATTCTTGATTGCTATCATTTTCCCCACGTCCCGGACCGCGTCACCCCGGCCGGAAAATCTAATGATGTTTGATCGCTGGGAAACCGTTTCCGGCAGGACCGTAATAAATTTCCGCTCAAAACGAGACACCGACTGAAAGGGAGAGTCCGACGGCGGCGATGTGAGTGTGTAGGTATCGGATTTGTTTGTCGAACGTTGTTTGTCGGTGAGTCGTGTTCTAAATTGGGCGGAAAGTTATGTGTTTTTGGCAGCAGCATTTCAAAACAGCAAACAAGTTCCGCGAAAGTGTTTGTGTGTGTGCGTATGTGTGTGTGTTCGTATGTTTGTGTGTAAAGCCACTTACCTATCACTTCCATGTCGCCGGAAACGATGCTGGTGTGAAAGGAGGGTGCGTCCGCTGACACCTCGCAGCTGAATTTTCCTGACACGTTGGCGGATTTGATGACCACGTGGCTTTCGTTGGATAGCGAGCGCTGGAAGGAGAGGGGAAAAGGAAGTTTGAATTAACCATAAAGCGGAGAATTTTGTAGTTAACGGTTTCCTGATATTAAGATACAGATTCTTGGTTAGCTTAAGTAGCACACATCATGTTGTCGAATTCAGATTCAATACGGGTTTAGTTAATTTGAAAGCAAAACATAGCAATACAATTATGAAACTCATGTACAGGGGATAAACAAAATGATTGGGACAGGAAACATTTTGTCATAATTCGAATGGCATTAAATTTTCGAAAAATAATCCAATTTTGATGAAATCAGATGCATTTGACGGGCTATTTATATCTGTTTCAATAAATCATATGAAAATTTGTGATGGACAGTGGCCACCGGAGATGTTCCGAGTTTTGGCGGGAAACTGATTCTTTCATCGCTTGTATTTTTTTTAATGGAAATTTATTTGAAGCAGAATTCTGAATTCAATACCGGCTACATATCCAAGATCTGATGAGAAACAACTGAGATCTTGTCATTTCCTTGAAATTGGTTCCGGTAAAGTGGCCAGTATTGTTAATCTTTTGAATCACGACAATAGGGGTATCAATTTTAATGATTTTTTAGCGCATTGTCTCCAGAATCGTTTTCAGATTTCTTACAAAATGGATAATATTTGTACCAAACGAACCTACTTCTATCAAAATCGGTCACAACTTTCAAACCACATGTTTCAACGAATTTGGTCATATACCAGCCCAATGAAGTGATCACAATTTGTAAGAGAAATGGACGCAGCACAGAATTTCAACCAAACCATTTATCCAAATACATTGATCAGACTTTTATCAAAAACTGATCTGAACTGAACCTCACAAAAAAAATCAACAAAGAGAACATATGACTGAACAGCACCCCCCCCACCGCGCCATTCCTGTAGTTTGTAGTTCTAGCGGCGCACTGTTGTCCTTTGAAATGAGATTCCGGGAAATCTTCAAAAAATTCACATACCACGTTGCGTAACTGACGTAAATCTACGATATGAATAAATGGGTTCTCGGTATTATCGGTAGTGTAAAGAATGGCATACCCAAACTCCATTCCAAGCGTGATTTCCCCCCGATCCACCCGAAAAAAAAATCGTTGCCACACAACCACGAACGGAAAAACATGCTCGTAAATAATGCTTCTGACACTACCTACCTCCCTAATTCCCTCATAGAGCTTCTCCTCACTGGCACTGGCTGTGCCGGCCTTTTACTGTGGGAGGTAGACTAACGACGACGGCGGCGGCGACGACGACGACCGACGTTGACGTTGACGATGGAATCAGATCGGTGATTCTAGTGCTGCCATCAGCAGTATTTATCAAGGGCAACCTCAACGGCAGCGAGGAAAAAAAAAGAAGAAGTCCGTTGAACGAATAACAGCACGCGGCATGCTCCCCCGGTTGAGCTGAGACAGCAAAAGTTGATTTACAAACAAATTGGATATTTTAGATTGAGGTTAGATATTTCAAGTTGTGTGTGAATCTGGCTGGGGGCGATCTTCCGACGTGAACTTTAATAGAGAATCATCGTTGAAAGTTTTGGAGAGCTGTGCCGAACGTGCTCCACAAACGAAACCAGCTGAAAAGTTTGATATTTTAGTCTCACTCAACCGGAAAGCCGGAGAAGGTCCTTACGGAACCATCGCAGCTGGTTCAACATTCGCTTCAATCGATGCAATTTTCTCTTCCGCTGTCTTGATTTTCTTCACCATCCGGGTTGCAGGATCGGGTGATGAGCTTTACGTCATTGGGAGTGTGTTTTTTTTGTATTTCCACATTCCACTTTGCTATTTTTTCGGTTCTACTTGTTCCATTAGTACAATTCAAGCTTCCTGCTTCCGATAGACGTAGCTACATTTTTGGTTCAATATTTTTGTTCGTTTCATCATGATTTTTTCTCTCTTTTGGTCTCTATGCCGGTTGGTCCACTAATGATGAGACTACCACCACCGCCGCCGCCATTGTGCCAGCCGGAAAGAATGATGGGGTAACGTCTTCGAGACTTGGATGTGTGTGCAAGAAAAATCGAACGTATTCTCCAAAGTGAAAGAGCACGGGACTCAACGTCAAATCAAGAGCCACATGTGAAAAGGGCATACAAGCTTTTTGTAAACAAACCTTTGTAGGCCCTTTTCTCGCCAACCGAGGGTCGCCCACGCAAACCAGCAATATCATCAGGAAGGGGAAAGTGTCCCCTACCCGGTGATGTTAAAGGTTTGCGTTGGTGTCATATGGGTGGCGAGAAAAGGGCATAAGAAGGTTTGTTTACAAAAAGCTTGTATGCCCTTTTCACATGTTGTTCTGGAAATGAGGAAACGGTTGACGGCGTACCCGCAATGAAACTAGAAATGGGAATTGAACCTATCCTGCGACTCGACGAGGCACACAATGCATTGGGAAATGGAACAGTTTCGCATCGGCATTCGAATGCTGTGCTATGCAATGTGCAGCGTGCCATCGTGATGAGGGAATTGGAATGTAAGGGCGCAAAAAAGAAACACCGGAAATGTTGCTGACAAAAGAAACCCAATTATTTTCGTTTGTATGTCAAGACAAGCACTGTCGTCGCCGGAAGGGAATGCTCGTGTGCAATCAAACAAAGTACTACCAATTAAATGAACGGCACTAATTAATTAGCTGGATCACGCCATTCGGAGCTCAAAACTTTCATCAGATTCCAGATAATTGGCTTACTGTTTCGCTACTTGGCTTGGGGCTACTGTCTAATGCTTTTTTTTTATGTCTAGAAGAGCAACTCCAGTTGAGTGGCCTCAAGCTTTGTTTGATCGAATTAAATTGATAACTCTTAAGAGTTGATGAGTAGTTGAATGATCATGGCCAAATCCAAACTGTGAATCTGCAAAAAATGAGTTCGTATTGATGTGAAGCATAATTGTATTCGAAATTGTCTTTTGAAAAAGCTTTCTTATTGATGAAAGCAAACTTATTGGATGGTAGCTAGTAGCTTCAGCTGGATTTTTATCTGGCATCAATATTGGAACAACTTTTGCATTTTTCCATGAATTAGGAAAGTAAAGCATATGCTAATTATTTTAGATGTAGAAAATTTCATCATCACTTGGAGCTTTCAAATTTTGATTTTTTTTAGTTATAGATCTTACTTCGTTCAAATCAGTTCCCCAGAAATTAACAAAAATATTTTCCTGAGAGAATATTCAAATAATATCAAGCAACCTGCTTCTAAGCCCCGTAACGTGGGTAGATCACCTTTTCGTGGTACGTTACGGGATGTAAGATCTACCACCGATTCCTAGTCTTGACTACTTCAAACTAGGGGAACAGGATTTTACAGTAATCAAAGGAACACATCTTAGTCCTTGTTACTTTTTATGCCTTGTTGATAGTCATAAGTCCTCGGGTTGCGTGGACCGAGGATGATCTTGAAACAAGGAAAAAATGAGTTAGTTAGTCTTCACCTATGTGATTCCTAATCTTCTATTCGTTGTTTCCTAGTTTGAAGTGGTTAAGACTAGGGTTCTGATGCATGGTCATTATCGGTGTCATGTCTTGTTTTTTTTGCTAAGGAATCCAATTTTGACTGACAAAGGGGCGCGCCTTTGGAGGGTGTTTCAACACTCCGAAGGGTATAAATAGCGGGACCTTTCAATTAGAATCGATTCCTTGCGATAAAGGCAAGAATGACAACTGTATCAAAACAGAATACTTCATCATTCAGTCCGCATCGTGCTCTCTTGCCGTGCGGATCTATTTGCTTTTTGCTTAAGGAAGTGTTACTACTACCTAAAGCTACAACAAATTTAAACAGCACTTTTCAGTGCTCAACCTGTAAGAATTTTCTACCTTGTTCAACTCCTCTTATTCCTCTTCGATCCTTGTTTGGACCCTACCCGAGGTAATCCTTCTTGGATATCGATTTGGAAAATTCCTCTTCGATCCTTCAGATTCTTATAGTAATCTGCTTGGAAGTCGATTTGGATAAAAAATTTACTGCCGCCATGGCGCCTAAACGCAAAAGAAAGGGGCAAACTCTTGACCCCCCTTCTGAAGAAATTAATTTGAGTAATCAATTTGATTTGCTCACGGATGATGAGAATGATCCATCATCCAAGAAAAATTCTAGTAAACTTTCCCGGCTTAATGCCAAGAAGGAAAAGATTCCCCCTATTGTGATAACCACTACCGATTTCCATGCTCTTCGCATGGAACTTTTGAATTTCGTGAAAGTTAAGTTTTCACTACAAATTGGACGTCGGGGTGAATGCCGTGTATTGGCTGAAACCTTGGACGGATTTAAATGTCTTCTCAAGTATCTTACTGAGAAGAAGCACAAATTTTTTACTTACGACACCAAAACTGAACGTGTGTTCAAGGTTGTCATGAAAGGACTGCCCAGTGGTGAATCCCTGGATCAGATCAAAGATGAACTGACAAAATTACTTGTAGGTGTGCCACTCCAAGTAATCAAAATGAAAATGAAATCCCGTCCTGGCGATTCGCGCAACGGGATTTCTAATGATTTTTATTTAGTTCACTTCAAGTCTAGTGAACTAAACAACCTTAAGGCCTTAGAAAAAGCTAGCCTTATGCTCCATGTCCGAGTGAAGTGGGAACACTTCAGGAAGACTGGAGGAAATTTCCAAAACCTCACTCAGTGCCGTAAGTGCCAGGGATGGGGTCACGGAACTAAAAATTGCTACATGCCAGCTAAATGCATGAATTGTGGTGATTCCTCTCACGCAAAGGACGACTGTCCTGTGAAGGAAGATCCTAAGAAATTTAAATGTTCACATTGTGGTGAAAACCACAAATCCAATTTTTGGGAATGTAAGACTCGCAAAGCGATCCTACAATCTCGTTCTAACCGACAGGTAGGAAACGCTCCACGTTTCCGACCAGGTACAAATTCCTCTGCTGTTAACAACGGTCAGCGAGGAACAAATTCTACATTCGTACCCGTAGGTACAAATATCACCCCTGCTTCAAATGTTTCATCTGTACCTACTCCCCT